ACTATTAGATGTGAAGTTTATCTACATTACATTTATAAAATATTGCAAAAAAAACGTTGATTGTTGAGAAGTTATTTTACACCATTTGCATTGTGAAGAGCAACGATGCCTTAGCGACTATATTAACGTTGTCAAATTGCAACCCGTATAAAACAGGGATTCCTAAACTATTTTGGGCAAGAGACCCCTTTTGTAAAATGAACTGATACCTCAAACCATCATGGCCAAATTACTGCACACTTTTCGACTTGTTGATTTTTTTAAAAGAACAAAATGGTACTTCTTACTAAAATATTAGACATTCTTGGTACACGTAACACAGCTAATACAGTATCTTGAAATTTTCAAATAAGAACTTGTGTTAATTAATAGGGCTCCATTTAGACCTCGTCGACCCCCAAAATCAGTTTTCGTTTATGCAACCGATTTCGATATCACTAATGGGAATCCCTGCTATAAAATGTGAGATAGTAGTCTGTAGTATTTTAATGTCTTGTATCAAAATATCTAGAATCCCTTCATCATATATTGATTTGAACTGGAAAGTGTACTGGGCCTGCCATTTTCGATTTTTATATTGTCGAACCCTATGGGTTCGACAATATAATGATTACTCGAAAATGGCCTCCATCATCATCAGCAACAGCCTATACTAGTCCACTGCTGGACATAGGCCTCTTCTTAGAAACGAGGTTTTGGCCTACTATACCACGCTGGCCAGACGGGTTGGTGTAGGGTTTGTTTCAAGTTTTCCTTCTATTTGCAGTGCTATTGTCCTGCTTAGTTTGCTCCCTTAGTCGGCTCTTACGACACCTCTTACGACACACACCACAAAATGGACTATACCCGTATAATTACTTACGACCTTTAAACCTTCAAGAAAAGAGCGTATTCCTTCCTAATAGGCCGGCAACGCGCTTGTGACTCCTGAGTTATCACTTTCACTCAGGTAACCCGTCTGCTCGTTTGCCCCTTTTTCCAAAATAATAAATCTCATCCTATAAAGTGTACAATCAATCAGTTGTCTTAAATGTACTTATATAAACACCTCCACATTGAAATGTACGTTCTATTCCTGATTCAGTGAATTCGCCGAATTGTTGGACTTGTAATATCGTGTTTTGTGTATTGGGGTTTGTTTTAGAAACATTGGCTGTTAGTATGAGCGCACGTGCCTGTTTAGCTTAGTGGCACGTTCGGTCCTTATTGTAGTTATTGCAAAATAATGCATTGCTTTCCATTCCAAACTTAGGTATTAGTGTCGCATGATTCCATTTAAAAGAAAACCTTGTTTGAGTAATTGTAGACTGAGTAGGTACTTGCCTACTCAGTCTACGATTATTCAAACAAGGTTTCATCACTTGATGACTATCCTTACATATTATGGTTTCATTGGTATGTTGCCGTGGCTGACCTTATTTGGTAGTAAGTTAAAACTAGTTAAAACTAGTTAATTATACCAGATGATCTAGAACTAAACTACCTTTTTATGTATGAATGATGTGAGAAGGCATAGAACTGATAACTAATTATGGAAAAGTGGTGTTGTTTGGTAATTACCAACGAAAATAAGACTTTTTATCATGCGTAATGTCCGTGTGTACTTAATGCGTTGTCGGAAGTCTTATCTGGTAAAATAAGTAGCACACAACAAAGTACACAAAATACAATTTGATTTTCGGTGGTTGTGATTTGTTTGTAGTCGTTAAATTTTACTTTGTTTTCTTAAAAATTGTCCTTAGTATTCTTCCCTTATGCCTGCGTACAATTAAAGTAGATAATGTATTATATAGCCTAGGGTTTTTATGGGACTTTACGATTAAATCAAATTGAATAGCAATAAGGAAAATTATATGTTTACTGTATAGAACAGCAAGGTTACACCACGGTTACACCAGTACATCGCTTATTTCCAGCGGGAAAGAGGTAAATATATGTATTTCTTTTGTCGCACATAGGGCTAAAGTAAAGACCTGCCTCTCTCGCCGGGTTATGGTTTGTTAACTTTACATGAAAAATATTTTTTTCGCAAACATTTCATTGGTCTACGGAGTTATGACAGCTTCACATTTAATTTCGATAAGTAAAGAAATTAGACAACGATTCTATTGAGATTTACAATTGAAACATCTAATCCTTTTTATAATCTTTTCAGCCATTCGTCAATTAATATTTGAAATAGTTAATCCGAGAAAGAATTATGGCTTACTTTAAATATGTACAACATTCCTTTACTTGACGGTATCTTTCTTTCGCTATATGGATTTCTTCCAAATATTAGAATGACACAATTTTATATAATAGAACTTCGTAGTAATAAAAATCCCTAAAATATTTATGATATCATAAATAACCTTAATGAATGAAACAACGCACGGTACGCCGAGACTCGTCATATGTTTTGATTTAACTGTTGGTTCGTTGCTAAACAGACGCATCAAATCAAACTGCATACTGTAAGTGCTCATTTAAACATTACTACAGTTCAGCGAATATGAACGAACAAAATAAGATCTGGTGTTGCTGAAGAAATTTATTGGTTTCTCGAGAAAACTTAAACGTCTGAGCTTATGTAACCTGTGTTTACGTTTATTTCAGTTTGCTAGTATAGCGTAGGCCCATCTTTATCATATCTTTCAACGTGTTTACGGGTCAACATACTTTCTTTACACACGTTTCGTATCTCAATTGATTCGGCTGCTGTTTATTACCTACTGAAGCTTATATTGTACTAAAAATAGCTGAAAAAATTATTACGTCATTTTGGATCTTTGTTTTGCTGTACATAGATAGTTGTCGTTTTCCTGGAGTGACATTACTTCTGCACTACTTGCTACTTCTTCTAGAAGCTCTGATGATTTGATGTCTTTACTCCCATTTTGCTGTCAAATATTTTTTAGAGATTTTAACAACTTGTCTGAATAATAATAATAATAACTTTATTTTAATAACTGAATTATAACACAATGTTGTATTCGATTAATTCGTATCGTATCATTTTCTGTCACCAATTAGCGAGAAAGAACAGTGAAAATAGTTACATCAAGCTACAGTAGTCCAGTACATAATTATACGTTTAATATTCCTAACTCTGTATCAATCTACTGGCGGTTAGTATATCTCTCTGTTAAACTGTCGTGATATGGATAGGCGCACAAATGTAAATTCTAGTTATATGGGTCATTAAAAAAATGACCGAAATTTAGCTACGGGCCGATCTCTAATTCTTCATCTTGATTCTATCGATCGTTGTTAATCAACGCCACCTGGTGATTATATAGTTAGTAACATACGCGTATGCATGTGTGACGTGTTTACATTTCCTTCGCTTCCAACCGCATAAGTTAATGCGTTCGTTGAACAAAACAGACACATCCGTTAGATGGCGCTCATAATATATGTTTAGTACGTCAATTTTATGTCTCCCAAAATACCAATAAAATTTAATTTAATATCTACCACTTTAAAATTTAATGCAATCGACTTTATATTTTGTTCTTGAATAATTAAAACCAAAATAGTTTCTTAAGCCGCTTTTTTAGAGGTCGCCTCGCAGCTTCCTACTACGCTGAGTGTTGTGGGTTCGATCCCCGTATGGGACATTTTGTGTGATTCACAAATTGTTGTTCTAAGTCTTTGCGTTTTTTTGTGTCCGTTTCATGTATGTTTGTAAAGTCCTCCGCGACACAGGATATATTTCTAATGCAGGAGTTGTCTTTAAAAAATAAAATAAAATATTAATAATTACTACCTATACGTAATATGGTAGTCTACACATATTAAATAAATACGTAAATTTTATACAGCGGGCAAGATAACTGCATAGTATCATTGCCATTCAGAAAGCATCCCGTGCAACAGTAAGTAGCATACAGGGTTGTGCAAGCGTAGACATTAGGATGGGGGTACCGCGCGCCTGCGCGGTACCAGCGCCGCGGTCGATTGCTGGACATGACTACCACATGAGACTAACACGTGGTTCCTAATCAACATGAAATTGTTGATTACCGATGCCACTTCTACATTTGTGACACATACAATTTTAAAGTAAGGACAAATTATATGTTTGAAAAATCTATAATGAACCAATGTAATTATTTATCCGCTTAGTAGTTCTGTGTGAACAGCAAACCGTGCCGTACGTAACTATCAGAGTACCTATATAAACAATCATTCTTTGTACCTTAAACGTACTTCCGCTAGTAAGTAGTCGCCTCAATGCTTCTTGGATTCAGGCCGATGAACTAGACAGCGTCATTTCCTCCTTTACTGGTCAGTACAATATGTTATTGATTGGTACTACGTGAAGAAGACAAGTCATTTATTTAATTTTTGCTATATTCTTAATAAAAATAATTTTAGTAATGGTTCCCTTGGAAGTATTTCATTTTAAATAATTTTACCATCTGTCTGCTCAATTTCATGTAGAAGGCTACTCTACGTATCATGTAGAAACTGCTCTACATAACACGTAGAGAGAGAGTCGGTATGAAATGTAGACAGCGTTTCTCTAAACCACTTAATTATATATTTGTGTATCGTTAATTCCCACAGCATGATAACGATATAACTAGCTTAGGATAGTCTAAGATAGATAGACTAAGATCGGCCTAAAAACTCTTTTTTGTTAGTGCATTTAAAAAAAATCCAAAATTTACGGCTATGTTTAGTATACGTTGACCTTGAAAAAGGAACGACCAATAATGTATTTTCAACCCTCTGGTCCGGCGGTCGTATGGCAATAATCCAGAGATCTAGTGGGGTCGGCATCGCTTGCAAGCCGCGACGACGGAGGCGTCGCGTGCGGGGCGCCGCGTCGTGCCCGCCCGCGCGCCTCGTCTGCACCGTTCGAGCTGCGGAGCTGTCAAACCGCCTCCGTCGTGCACCCGGCTTGAACGCACCTAACACCGGCGCACTAATTCGCGATCGTAACGTAGTACGCGGTCAGTGGCTCAGTGTGTGTGATTTTGTAATATTCGTATGACGGAAAGCACTTGGAGATGAACGGAAGCACGACGACGGTGAATGGTGGTGCCGTCAACGGGACCAATGGTGCTCTCAATGGAATAGGAGCAGCACCGCGTACTGCTACACTCGGAACACCTAGTAGCTATGCATATACCTCCAGTGGCTCACTGCTTGGTCGGAGTGGTGCAGCCAGACCAGTGCCACCACCAACACTGCCAAAGTATAGTGGTTCATTTAGCGCAGGTAGCACGTCGGGACTTAGAGATCGCGACAGAGAAGGAACTGGTGGATCGCATCGTTTGGCAAGCCTAGAAAGATTAGCATTGCGTCAGCGTATTATTGAACAGAGCGCAAATAATCAGGTGCCCATCGGGTCCTCTTTAAACACACCATCCAATGGCGGACCTACCTCTGCGACTGTCACCCTTACCGATACGGCAACGGTGAGTCCCCTAGCTCGTTCTTCTTTCGCACCCTCGACAGCTCCCCTAATTGTAGTTAACGCACCCCGAAAAAGGAAAACACTGACTGATGTTTTTAATACGCCCAACCCCTTGTACAAAACGCACTTCACAATAGTTTCTGACACGAATATTGTTAAAAAGAAATCTTTTCCAATCTTTTAATGGTCGGAAAATTATGTAAGTAACGTGCTGTGTGTGAGCTCCACGCTCGTTTGTTTACATTGAAACATATCAATACCATAACCACATAGACACCTATCCGTGTCAGGTGTTACATTGCATAAAACAAGTCCTATATCAACTTCTCTGGAGGGTTGACATGTTGTTTTGTACTAATTGTACACCCAACGCTTGCGCTATTACTTTATTAAACCTCTTTTAACAGTAATAGTTTTTCAGCACATTAAATGTGCATACATGCAATTTAACATATTTTCACTTAAAACAATGTTATTACCTATAATAATAAATATCATTTTAATATGATGTAACTAAAAAAAAATATTTAAGCGTGAAAAGAAGATTAAGCGTGTAACAGGTGTTCACGAAAAAAAACGACCTAAATTGTATACGCCAAACAATATCAACCTTGAACCTGAGACAAAACTGATATATAAATTGTACTTAAGCTATGAAGTATAGATAAAATATACAAAAGTAAAACGCAACATTTCGGACCTAAATTAAGATTTGTTTGTCTCATCCGAAGAAATTATTTGTGATAATAGATGACTGTTTAGGTTGGTATGTATAGGAAGATTTTTTTCATAGGAATCATGATTCATTTTCGAAGAAGAGTTGTCCCGATCAGCATCCTCATGCCATTTGCTTTTTTTTTCCTGTTTATATTCTCTTGGGGTAAGGGCATGGCAGGCAGCTCACCATATTATTCCCACGCAGTTCCTCATGTGATAGGACTGGTTCGGTGTGCGGGAGGGGTGAGCGGGTGATTGACCCTGTGCCTACAGGGTTAAAAATAACTTCGTGCAGTGGCGGACATTCTGCTCGCATGTGTCGAATTCACTAAACAGACATTAACTGTTTCACGGTCGCACCCTGACCTGAAACTTCTCGGAACATTAAAATTAACATTTCTTAAGTATAAATAGTTATTTTCATCTTATTTGTAAGTAATGATTGTTGTTTATGGTGTTTCTAGAAGGAATAGTGCTATGCCTGCTATAAAAAACTTGAAAAGACGTGTAATTTTTTGGTACCGTTCATTTATATATTATTCATGCTCATTTATCATCATTAATCACTTATTCAATGTAATGAATCATGAGATCAAACCAAAATAATGACAAAATAACCTAAAAACATGTTTTAAAACCTTCCAAACTTGATGATTAATATTGAGATCGACGCGGGTTGGCAGATAAAACCTAGTCTCGTTATAAGTAGAACTTCTCAAGTTATACAACTTATTTATTGTATTGAGATCGTTCAACTATTGAGTTTAAAAGGGAACCCTTGATGGGTATTTGTAAACGTTTCTTTATCAATCTATTTTTATCAGAATATTATCAGTAGGTACCGTGATAAGCGTAGGTACATCATTTTTTAACTAACTAACAAATATGTTAAAATTGGTTTCTATTTAAAAAAATCGTCTAAAACTCGATCTGTATTATTATAATTATAATGCGACATTGTTTCACAAAACGCATTTGGTTTGAAATTTTTCACTAACCGGCAAAAGCGGTTGGGGCACGCTCTCCTCTTGCATTGTTACACGCCACGATCACAAAAAGCTAACCACCATTGAACAACGATATATTCTCAACTTTGAAATAATCTCGTTAAGACTCATTTTACCACTTATCATTTGTTTATTTACCCTCTACAAAACGATTGGTTCTTGCTTTTGTGTGTCTGGTGGGCATAAGTGTGACGGGCTGGATCCTTGTGCGTCTATATAGATATAGTCATAATTAACTCAGCGGTACCTGAGTTTAAGAAGGCCTTTACACACGGGGTGTTTTATTTTTCATTTTAACTTATCAATGAATATAATCGACGGGTATAGCAAATAAGTATTGTTAAATTATTATATAGTTTACTCGTGTTTTTGCGGTATACTATGGGATTTACACACTTTTAATTAGGCATAATTTTGAATAAGATTGCACATGAATTTCGTCTATTCCCAAATTAGCTACCTAACTAAATGATTGGCCAAGAGTTATTTTAAGTAGGTAGTGGATGCAATACACCACCGAGTTCAAACTGATAAACATTCAGTTATATTTTATTCATAAGTGTATTCTTTTTTTATTTTTTAAAGGCTGTTGATGATATTCTTTTATGCTCCCCTATTTCGCCTATCCTGTTGCATATTTAAGATTTTTTTATGTTAAATTGCGACTATTATAAGAACATGTTTTAAATTTTACTAATGAGTTTTATTAACTCATATCTTTTTTTGATAAGATAATTCAAACATTAATGATAATTTTATTTAATAATAGTTATCACCCCATGTGATACCGCCCTAAAAACCGTGCGCTGGTGTGCCGCGCCAACCGGCAGCCGGTATCGCTTGTAACTTAACCTCAAACTGACACAGTCGTGAACGGTGCTTCATATTACAACAGTTTATCTGTGTTTTAATTCTACGATAACTACCTTTTTACGGATTTAAGTGAAAAAAAAATTCAACCGTTTCTTTCCTACAATACTAGTGATTACGTTTGTGTATTTATTATGAGGGAACAACAAAACAAAAATGTTAAATCGATACGGCCAGTGCAATAACACAACTAAATGGACATAAAGCAATACAAAACGTATCCTTTATGAATTGTAACATCACTGTGATAAATATTTTATTCAGTATTCAGTGTCAGTCAGTTTTAAAGTGGCTTTTTAATGTTACTGACAATCGGACGTTTTTGTAAGCATTTCGACAGTGAAGCGTCGTTTATGTTTTCATCTACAAATTGACAACCGTCCTATAGTTTTTGGATGTAATCAAAATGGCAAACCGTGCTGTAACTAACGGCAACGGAAACCAGACTAAATTGACGAGATGTTCAAGTAGCGTAGGTGACAGTGGCGCTGATAAAGCAAAAGTTGGATGGACGAGTCCCCGAGATATCTGGCGTAACTTATCGCTGCGGAGAAAAGCTGAGGTGATTAAATTATAATACTTACAGAAAATTTGTAGGCCCTGTTGTTCTCCTGCATAGACTGCTAAAAATTCTTCCCTTGATAAGGCACGTTTTGTGTGAGAAGGAATCTGTTTTACGTAATTAAAAAGTTACGAAATTCTAAATTAAATTACTTACTCAGTGGCATATATATCTTACACTCCAAATGCAAAGATTACATTATTTAATATTTGTATTTTCCATCAAGTATTTCAACTCAAAGGAATCAAGCAAATTGTGTTGGTTAGTGTTATCTCTGGAACACTTACTTACGTATTGTCGCCATCAATTAGAACCTTGTTGGTTCTGTCGTTTAAGTATAAATAAACTGTCTTTGATAAGGGAGTCACTTAACTTAACCTTTAGAACAAATGCCTTTGTATTTGAATGTTCCATTGCAAATGTTTCATATTGAGTAAACGAGATCTTAATATTAGATTGACATCCCGTTTCTTTATGCAGCATTCATAGACAAGTAACCATTTCCTAATCCTCCGTCTGGGGTCGATGACTTTGTATATAGTCATCGTAATAAGTCGCAATCGCACACTGCGACGGTGACGTCTATCTTGTATACTATCGTATCAACCCGTATCGAATCATCGATAAAACGTACATCAAATTAAAATTATTACCGTTAATATTTACTAATATCTACGATACAATTACACTAAAAATGTACGCTATCTTTAAGTCTAAATACTTAAATGTATACTTTTTGAATTATTGATATAAATATAATGAATATGGTTTTGCACTTCCGCTTCAAAGATGGTTTTTATGTATTTTTCGCGTCAGTTTTCTTCCTGATTTCTTATCAACGCAACCACAATGTGCCACAGTATACTATGGCAGAGTACAGCTGTTAAGCAAATAAAGTGTTTCTATACTCGTACCTGTGACCCTTGCGTCTTCATAGTTGTTATCCTTATCAGACAGTGGTGTATTAAGTCGTAAATGTGTTGTAGATAACCCAATGACACCGGCATCGTCGTTCACAGTGGAAGCGAATTTTTTTTTTTTTATTGTAAATTATATGCGAATTCAAAACTATGAATAAAGGTATGTTAATTGAGTATAGGCAACGTTATACGCGTACAAGCAAATTGTTCGGTAACGGTTTTTTTTCAAACGCATAAAGAAGTGGAAGTATAATGTAACGTTTCGTAACGTATCAAGGCGCACCTGTACTATTCGTATAATACATACATGGCTCCGATTGTGTTCATAAACCAAACTAAAACGTCTCTAAAAGTTCCCTTTTTTCAGTAAAGAGAAAGTTCCGGTTTTAAAAATGATAAGAATATTATGTCATTATTTGGGGTAGACAATTGTTACAACACAAACAAAATAGGATATTTAACTCTATGAATGTAATGATAATAAAAATAGTTCAAGCAACGAACAATCGAAAATTGATGGTAAATAAATTTAATAAAGTTGTCAGTTTTTATCTTTGTTTTACAAATATGCGAAATACAAACTAGCATGAAGTCAGTAAAAAACTAAGGAAATTGTGAATTTTGCTGTAGATTCTGAAATATTTTATTTCTCCTGTGTATTTTGCTGAAAATTGCTCATGGTAATATGGCATTGTACATATTGATTTTAAAACTATCACATGAAATAATCTTAAAGAGAAGACTGAATAGGTTTCTCTTTGATAAGCAAATAGCATTAGTAATAATTATCATCATAAGCCATAAGTACGTCTGACGAAACTACGCGGGTCTGTTTTCTATGCCAAATAAAGCCTTAGTCTTACCATACTAAGGCTAATGATGAGTTGATCGAATGACAAACTCACTTACACAAAGTTAGCTACCT